AACAAAAGATTGTGATTTGGGATACTTTGAGTTGAGTGGTCAGGAACTAACACTTTCTGAGAAATTTAAATTTAATCTAAGATCAGAACGACAGAGGCCAGTCATATAAACAAACATCTTTCCAGCAGAAGGAAGGGCCAGTGAAAAAGATAGAAACAAGCTTGGCATGCTCAAGAGACAGCTTTCTTCAACTGAAAATTTTCTCTTTTCTTCTTTCCAGATTTTCTATTTGTTTTCATGGGAAGAGATTATTTGCAGTTAGTAGTCTCTGGCAATTTGGATAATTTCCTGCTGTATTCTAAAATGCCACTAAAAAGAGTTGAAGTAGGTCTTTCTCAATATTGCTCCGTACTAGAAAAATAGCCTAGAGAAAAAAGAGAGAAAAGGGAAAAAATTGGTAAATTCAAAAAGATGGCCATAGTAAGTGGTAGAAAAATAAATTGGTAAACCACCTTGCAAAAGTGTTGGACAGTTTCTTTAAAACCTAAACATAAGGGCACCTGGGTGGCTCAGTCAGTTAAGCATTTGCCTTTGGCTCAGGTTATGATCCCAGAGTCCTGGGATCCAGTCCTGCATGAATGGGAGCCCACTTCTCCCTCTGCCTGCTGGTCCCCCTACATGTGCCTGTGCTCTCTTTCTCTCTCTCTCTCTCTCTCTCTGACAAATAAATAAAATCTTAAAGATTTTTTAAAAACCTAATCATTAAGGAAAAAAAAAAAAAGAAAAAGCATACCATGTCTTTACTCAACTGTTAGGGGTTTAGTAATTTCCAGATGCTATGCTAGACACTTTATACACATGACCTCATTGGTCTTCACACCCATCTCATAATAAAAGAAGAAATATTATCTCTACTTTATAGAGGAGTAAACTAAGACACACAGCTGTTAAGTGGCAAAGCTGAGATTCAAATTCAGATTTCCCTGGGGCCTCTTTAAAATATATAGAAGCAGAGAAGCCATGGGTCCTGTCTCTGGATACAATACAGTTGAGAGATCAGGGGGGATCTCCAGCTATGTGCCAGTGACCAGCCACACACACACACACACACACACACACACACACACACACAACTCCAGCAACCTAAACTGTCCCTATTTTCTTTCCATTTAAATTCAATTAGCTCTATTTTTGGTAGGTGCTATTCCAACATGATGGCTAAGAATGCTAGCATTGCTATATAGACAACAATTGCTTTGTCTAGAAAATTGGGGGCTCAGCAGTTAAGGAAAATGTATTTTAAAAAGGTTTTAGGATGTAAAAAATAAGCAAAGACAATTATCACTTATACTTGGTATTTACTAGGAATAAATTAAGTATAAGGAACTGTTTTTGTTCATGTAAGGAATTGTCTAAGAATGAGGATTTACATGTTGGAAGAGGTAGCTGAGAAAACTGAGAGTACAACAAGACACTGAACGATGCCCGTGAATAGAGACATTTATTTTATCAGTACAGAATGGTTCATTTGCTAAACTGTGCTGAAATTTTTAAAACTAATGTGCCATTTTGTATGCAGCTAGATCTTGAATACAAGTACATTATGGACCTAAGAGTAGTTAAGTAAAGGAAACATCCAAATGTCCTAGAAGACTGAAAGAAGAGCAATATAAAAGAAAAAAATCATACCATGGAAAACTGTTTCTTTTATTTGTTAAATATAAATTGATAGAAATGTTTAAATTACCATAAACGCCACCTTCTCTTTGATGTGAATCCCTTGATAAATTTACAGAGAGCTGGAAAACTGTACTGTATCACCAATCTCCAGATTAAAGCCTGTCAGTGACAATTCTTACTAATTCACTGCAGTGCTTCACCATCCCTGTGTCATCAAGCAGGCAACCCATGAATCCTGCCCTATGTTATGCATCAGCCACATCTTCTTCAAAGGAGAAATTATAATGGGACATGGCATTACCACTTTTATAACTGCTCCTTTGAACCATGACTTTCTAAAACCACAAAGCTTCTTCCATAGATAGCAAATCCCTCCCTATATAAACTACCAATTTCATTAGCTTTGGAAGAGTTCTCTTTCTCCAAATTAAAAATGCCTGATAATATTGACTTAAATATTATTAACACTTAAATAATTTTGTTTACACTCTTTCATCAGACATATACTGCATGGTTATATACAGAAACCATGTAAATGATAAAGTATTCATTTCTATTTTTTTTAAAAAGAATGCTACAAGTAGATGTTCTTAGAAAATAAAAAAGTATATATATTATAGCAGAAGAATAGTCAATGAAAGGACTTAAAGATAAGCCTGAAGAACTCCGATAGAGAAGTCAAATATCTAATAGTTGAAATTCCCAAAAGAAGAAAGAAGGCAGATGAGAAGAAATCATAAAAGGCATAAGTTAAGAACGCTTCCCAGAACTGAAGAACTTGAAATCCCGATTTAAAGACTTACTGATTACCCAATGTAATGATCAATCCCCAAAAATAATGTACACAGGGATCATTGTCATGAAATTTCACAACATCAGGAATGAAGAGAAGATCTCAAAACTTTTGGAGAAAACGAAGTCATGTATCAAGGATCAGGTATAAGAATAATATTATATCCTAAGACAACCCTAGAAACTAAGGAGAAATGGGGCAACATCATCGTGTTCTTTGCGAAAAGGATTTTCAGTCTCGTGCTCCATATACACTCCGGCTACTAATTGAGCAATTGTAGAATAAACACCTTTTAGACATCCAATGTCTTTCAAACTTCACCAAGGTATTTGGAATTCCAGTTCTGTAAATTTTCCTGGGAATTTCTGGAACATATTCTCCACAAAACTAAGGAAATCAACCAAGAAAGGGAACATCAAAGGGAATTCCCTTGATGAGAGAAAAATGTTTCAGGGTAATAGCTTTAGAGTAGGCCAAGAAAGCAACCAGTGTAGACTAGAACAGAATTACTCGAAGAACTGTCCAGAAGAAAACAAACAATAAAGGAAAAATGGAGGTGATAGATTTTCTGATATATTTGTGAGGAAAAGTTCATAAAGAAACACCTGGAGGACTTGAGTAGAACAAATATATGGAACAAAGTACATAGAAACTAAGTAAATAAAAAAAGAATAATAATTACTCAAGAGGAAGTCAGAAAGTTGTGCAAGACTAGGAATGTAATCACAACACATGTGTGAACCATATTACATGATCATAGTAATGCAATCAGTAAATATTGATTTAACCAAAATTATGATATAGCTATTAATGGATAGGGAATGACATAAGAGAGCAAAATCCTATATTCCTATATAAAGGAAGTCAATGGATATTGCTCAGTCTTTAAACACCACATTCTAGTAAAATGAAGGAGAATTTCTTGAAGAAAAGCCTGATATCAGGTCTGGTGTAAGGAATTTACAAGGTGAACCTGGGACACCTTCTCATGCCTGAAAGCAAGGGTATTATCAAAGATTACTGAGAGGTGGCTATAGAAATCCAATGTGATATTCTCTCTGTGTTTGTTGTGTTTGAAATTATTCATTATAAAAAGTAAAAAGATAAAAGTGAAAAAATGGGTTAGGTAGTAGGATTGGGGGAAGTAAAGGGAACTTGCCTAGTAAATGAACTTCACTACTATTTGAATCTTTTACAATAAAAATGTAAATTTATGTATTCCTCATGTAATTTTTAATCAATTTTAATTTCAGATTGAAATTTAAAAGGAACAATCATATAAACATAGTACTTAGCAGTGTGGAGTTAAATACCATTAAGACTAATAAAGGTTGAAAATGTTGGCCAATGGGAGGTACATCTAAGGTATGCAGGGGGGTGAGAAGGAAATCGTTGTTTTGTTAAGTAACAAAATCCTTGGTATTATTTAGCTCTTATATACATATTGTACTTCAATAAAGACAAGCTTTAATTTAAATATACTGTTATTTTTAAAAATTATGGGCTTTAGGTCATAAAGAACTCTTCCTTTTTTTTTATTCTTTATTCTGAACTTTCACACATACAGGCAATTAATTCATGTCAATCTAAATATCTATCTGATAGTTTTCCCATCTATACTAGAAAATCATCTGCGTTTTGAATGGCTGTGATGAATCCAGTTAACTGACGTGATCCTCTTTTCTTTGGCCACCTTCACTACAGAGGCTGCAAGAGACCACTTTAACAGAATTCTTTACAGTTAGAATAGTCATATGACTCATTTCCTACCAATGAAATTATAATGTGGTAAGAGAATGTTGGCTTTTAATAAGCTTTTTACTCTCCTCTCTTCCCACCTTCAGTGAAAATGGGGGCCTCCACAGGAATAGACATCTTGACACCACTGAGTCATGCTAACAGTGGAATGAAAAGGAGAAAAAGTGAACCTAGGTCTTTGATGACAGAGTTGAGGAGACAAACACATTTTCAATCCATACAGTGATGCTTTAGGTTTCTTTTATGTTTACTGTAGAAGTTTATTGACTTGTTTATTTTTTACACATACCAAGAAAATGTGAAGATACAAATCTTTTATAAATTTTTTTAAAAATTGGGGCACCTGGGTGGCTCAGTTGGTCGAGGGGCAGATTCTTGATTTCAGCTGAGGTCATGATCTCAGGGTCCTGGAATTGAGCCCCTCTTCAGGCTCCCTAATCAGTGGGGAGTCTGCTTGAGGATTCTCTCTCTTCTTCTACATCTGTCTCTTCCCCCTCAAAAAATAAATGAATAAATCTCTTTAAAAATTTTAAAAGAATGCCAACTAGATACTTACAAAACACCCCCTTTTAAAAAATAATGTCACCTTTTCCCCAAAGATGTTAAGTGTGTTAAAGGGTGTGTCACAATCTAACTTCTCCTCACTAAAAAGAACACAGGAAAGAGAGCAGAGAGTGGTTATATAAATTATATATGTATTAACTGAATTTTTGGTTGGAATAGGTATATCTGAACCAACAGAGGTTTTTTTTTTTTTTCCTCAGTTATGTATACTGCATCCTATACTCATAAAACTGTTTATTGTTGGCTTACCTTTATTTTTACTCACCATAAATTACACCATAAGCCAAGTGAGAGCACAGGGTCTTTAGATGCAGCTTGTGTAGGTTCCAGATGGTTTCTGACTCACTTACATCTCTGTGACTGATCTCGGCTACCTGATCAACTCAACCCTCAGTTCCCACACCTATGAAGTGGAGATAATGATGATATCAGCTTCATCGGGTTGTGGTGAGGGTAAAGGAGCTAATAAACACAAGTGCCTCATGTAAAATATGGGTTGGACCAATGTTAGCTATTATTGTCTTCACTACAACTTTACTTAACAAGCACATAGCACTTACTGTATGCTAGGCACTACTCTAGTGCTTGACAAATATTAACTTACTCATTGCTCCTAAAACATGGTGGTTAATTATTGTTTTTATTATTACTGTTTTCTCAATTTTATATCTGAGAAATTTAGGAACTATTACAAGAGCACACAGCTCAAAGATGGCAGAACTAGAATCTGGACAACAAAAGCCCAGCCCCAGTATGGGCGCCATGAACCTCCGTTCTGCTTGCCCCCACCCCTCCTCTCTCCCTTCCCTCCTCTTTGTTCTCAAACAGTTCCTAGCAAATGATAAGCATTCAAGAAATACTTGTTAAGTTACATTTGCATGGAAAAGAAACAGACAGGACTGGAAAGTTTCAAGTAACAGATACTGACGTAATTGTAAAAGACCTTGAAGTCTTTTTCACTACCCTTACCTTAAATATGAATTTTGACTTATAACAATATTTCTGTTTATTTAACTGAATATCGGTTGTCTGTATTATAAGGGAAAGTTGAGCTTGAATAAACTATAAAATACTAACTTACAGTGAGTGTTTTCAGTCATTGTCTCTTCACAGCAAACAAACAAGTCTGTAAATATTTAAAGCAGGGAGACTCGCAAATTGTCTTCATTTGTAAGAGTGAAGAAGATACACATTTTGTAGGCTGAGATGAAATAGAAGAAAGCATCTTGAGGTAATTAGTTTTCACTGGGGTTTGAAATTTAACATATCAACCCAGAATTTATTTGCAACTATTTAATCACCTCAGACCAATGACCTGTTAAAGATAGAGGTTGATTCTCCTTGAAACAACAGGAAATCTAGTGTTCCCCAAGTGACTCTTCATATGAGCATATGAGATGTATAGTCTTGCACTCGCCAAACTCTTTTCTGGACATCACCACTTAGAATTTGACATTGTCATGCTGTTTCTGCTGAGCAGATTTGATCCGCTCATGGTGTCCGCTCTCTCTGTACCAGCAACTCCTTAAAAATGTATCTCACTGTAAACATTTGGGTGCACGTGCCCCTTCGGAGCACCATGTTTGTATCTTTAGTGAAATAAGCCAATCAGAGAAAAACAACTATCATATGATCTCCCTGATATGAGGAAGTGGAGATGCAATGTGGGGGGGGGGGGGGTTTGGGGGGTAGGAAAAAAAAAATGAAAGGAGATGGGATTGGGAGGGAGACAAACCATAAAAGACTCAATCTCAAAAAACAGACTGAGGGTTGCTGGGCGGAGGGGGGACGGGAGAGGGTGGTGGGGATATGGACATTGGGGAAGGTATGTGCTATGGTGAGTGCTGTGAAATGTGTAAACCTGACGATCACAGACCCGTATCCTTGGGGATAAACATACATTATATGTTTATTTAAAAAAAATAAATTTAAAAAAAATGTATGTCACACATACATGAAGTCTCCCCTAGTTGACTCATGGGCTCAGTTTCCTGTAAAATACACATGGACAGAAATGAACAGGAGGATTCAAAAAGGCATGTGTGCTGGTTGGATGATATTACCTGCAGGTAAAAGCAAAAGATGAGAAGCCAAAATTTTACCAATCATATCATGCTAATAAAGCCCCCTAAAAAATGTTGTAGGCTTTTTTTTCTTTATCCATTTGTTAACTGAACTAAGGTCACTCTTAAAGATACCAGCTTGCCTGAGATAGCACTTCCTTCAGTCTTAGCCTAGTCCTCCAAAGAAATCCAGAGTGGCAGGTGTTCCAGTAAAATTAAGTGCAGAAAACAAAAATAAAGATACAGTGTGTCTTGACTATGTTTTTTCCTTACAATACTCCAAAAATTAATTGTTAAATGATTATTTGAAGAGGTAGAGAATCAGCAAATCTGGGCAAATTATTTAACTTCTTTGAGACTCATCCTTCTGAGTACACATACTTTGCATTTAGCGATCCTAAATTATTTGCAGTTTCTCAAAGGAGCTACATTTGTCAAATATTTATATTTTATCCATTGCCTGACTCGTAGTAGGTTCTTGGTCGTTACTTGTTTTTAGAGGTGAAGGAAAATCCACCATAGTAAATAATTGAGAAAAAGAAGGAACACAGCTGCTCATTTGCTATTTTCTGCCTCTGTCTCTCATTACACAAATAGTTATGCTTGTATGCATGTACAAGACTTGGGAAAATAAATCATTTCAAAGAATTTATTAGAGAGACTTTGCTTTGAAAGAGGTCAGACAGTTCCAGCGATGTCTTATATGTTAATAAAGTTTACTTTTACTTTGTTTCTGGGTGGATTTAATTTTTACAATGAAAAGGAAATGTATAAAGAACATGCAGAAGCCTGACATAGACTGAAGTAAAAAATAAGTTATCAGGGGAAAAGTAGCACTCATTTTACCATTTTGTTTTCATTTATGTCTGTCCCTTCTACCAAATGGAAGGCTTCTTGAGAGAAGGAACTACAAGCCACTTATCTTTATATCCAGAGATGATACTCAAAATATTTAATAACCAGTATAGGAGAGGCTCTGACCAATTAGAACAGATGCTGACTGTGAACTATCGATGTGGCCATTGTTGTGTTTTGGTTGGATATTAGAGCTACTCTATTCCCAATGTGTAGCACAGTGCCTGAGAAATGCTGGATGCTGAGTAAATGTTTGGTGAATGTGTGGATAAAGGAAAGAATACGTGCATAAATGCTTCAAGCAGACCATGCCACCAAAACCCAGTTCTTCCAGGATTGTCCTACTGTCCCTCTTAGAATCTTCTTTGAACTCAATGGCCTTGCACAATAGAGAGAAGAACCACAGGTATTGTGGAAGCCGCGTGACGTAGACTGTCCTGGAACTATTAGCAATGGGTTCAGTTAGCCTGGGGCTTTGCAATAGTCAGTCATGAGCAGTTGTGAGAACATAATCAAAAAACATAGAGGGAGGGAGATAAACCACAAGTGACTCTTAATCTCACAAAACAAACTGAGGGTTGCTGGGGGGAGGGGGTTTGGGGGGGTGGGGTTACAATGGACATTGGGGAGGGTATGTGCTATGGTGAGTGCTGTGAAGTGTGTAAACCTGGCGATTCACAGACCTGTACCCCTGGGGGAAAAAATATATTATATGTTTATAAAAAATAAAATTAAAAAACAAACAAACAAAAAACATAGAAAGCACATCAAAGGTCCCTGTGAAATGAGGATCATGGTTCCAGAACATAGGATGATTATCTCAGTGCTTTTCATTCCTGAAAACATGAATATGAAAATATGGATACCTTCTGTATCCACATCTAATTTGGATACAGAAATGACTGATTTATAAGGGGCTTCTTTCTAATGGTTATCGTATGCTAACATAAAATTCTATGGAAAATATTTTCTATCTTCTCATTTTGTTATTTTTGGTAAGCATTCTTTTATGTTTTTTTATAAGATTGTAGAAAAGTATTAAAAATTAGAAACAAAATTTGCAAAAAGATACTCTTTCCTACTAAATCAACTTGAAAAATAAATCTTAGCCCTCGTAGCTGTTCATTGATTATCAAGAAAACATCAAATAGTTATTGAATCCTTTAATGGAAAGTTGTATTTGGAAGCTTCCCAGAATTCTTAGGAGATGTGTGTAGGCTTACTGAAGAAATGCAAACCCTTCCATACCTCTCAAAAAGTTAAAGGATTACCATGGGCTGTCAGACCCATCTCACTGTCCAGACACAGTGGAGAATGAGCATGCGGCATCACTTGTTCAATTACTCTCTATCTAGGCATTTTTGGATTATGGGCAGAGTAACACGAGCACAGCGAAAGCAGATGGGGCTGACAGATTGCAGTGGCTGTTCCTATGGAAAATCCTGAAATGCTTCCTGCAGGTCTCCTAGACCTAACTATTTGTCCCAGGCTTGGATCTGCAGCTCTCCCATCAAGCATTTAAGCTCTTACATAAATGTCCCATAAATATCATTTTAGTTGAAGTCAAGCTTGCTTAGTTTCTGTGGATTGCACTGAAGAACTGGAACTACATTTGACATAAGGTCCTGGAATTACAAACAGGTGTGTGGTGCTATCCTTGTCATCAGTGACTAAACCTTGGTTGAAGAGAGAGAGAGAACATGGTGAGAGCACAAAGCAGGAAGCAGAAAATGAGCGAATGTGGGATGGACTCATAAGGTGAGAATCTGAGCAAAGTTGGGAATCAGGAGGTTGGGGTTGGGAATCCTCCTCTTCACCATCCTCACTCCTTGGCCTTGTTCAAGTCACTGATGGACAGCATTGACCCTCAGGTGTCCACAGAGGCTGGATCATGGAGACGGAAGAAGAGAAAGTGTGGCTGCCATGCTCAGAGGAGGTCCTGTCTAGTTGATGCTAACTCTTAGCCCTACAGGACTTTAAAGGAGAGGGAACGGACAGTGGTTAGGGCAGACATTAGAGAGAAGCTGGGGTGTCAATGAAGTCAGAACAAGCTTTAAGTGTTGCTGATTCAATGAAAGTAATCAGTTTGCTTCCTGGCATTATATAGACCAACAATTAAATCCTCTGATTTACGTCTCAAAAATCGTATTGCTTTTGGTATTATGGATATCTGTAGCCTGAATTAGACTAAATTAAGAAGAATAAGTACACACACACACCCCAGTAATAGAATAATAGAACTTACATTTAATTTTATCCTCTAGTGAGAGAATACATGAACAGAAAGCGATTTCTTCAAAATTTAATTCTTAGAATAATAATCTCTGATGTAGACGTATTTCAAAAACAGCTGACTCTTATATAGAAGTTGTAATGTACCAGCACTATTCTTTGCATAAATATTAACTTTACACATATATTTACTTTACCTATAGACTATGCTTTACATATGTATTAACTCAGTCAGTGTGTGCCGGTGAATGTTAAACAGCCTTCCCTGGGTAGGGAGAAAGTGGAACGCTGATGTGTAGAGTCTGTCTGTTTCTGTGATGTAAACCCCTACACCTGCCCAGATTTTAAACCCTTTGTGTTGTCGAAGAAGG